CGATCTGCTCTTTGTCTTTGATTTCTATGTAGTCTGGCCATTCTGGGACAAGTCCAGTCTGCACATAGTTAGGCTGCACAATATGCTACAGGAAGGGAGCAGAGGCAGGACAGGATGTTAAGGATGAGTCTGTTTTGTAAGTTCAATATAAAAGTTTAAAAAAAAAGAAGTTATTTCTTCTTATTATTATTATTTGTTATTGGAGTCCAAACCAAAAGAAATGATGAAACTCCTCAAATGACAGATGTTAAGAGTGTTTCTCATTCTGAGTTCGTACAATTCTCTTAATTCATTTTTACTGCACCTCTTGTACATTTTATCCAACATGTTTAATCCTAACTGAAAACCTCCAGTAGAATAATATAAAAAGCTCTCATAAGTTAGTAGGAGTTGACATACTTCACCATGAAAATAAAACTTATATTAACCTAACTAAACTAGTCCCAAGATCCCTCCTCTCCACTGATGACCCTTAACCTACCTATATGCATATGTTAAACGTTTCAGCTTTTACCTACAATCTATTGCAAGTGCTGATATTAAAAACACTCCTCTCAGTATGTTGAGCAGAATCATAAGAAGTTCAGTTGTTGATTCAGCTAATAAGGGGGTCATTTTAGGCAGGGTACTTGTACCTTGGGTACTGCATAGGCGGGCCTGACAGTAGCTGGACGAACTACATTGTGAGAACGTTTCCACTTCCTCCAGAAGAAACGTCGATGCTGCTGACACAGCAAGGCTGTGGGGGGACTACAGCTGCCCACACAAGCTCTGCGCAGAAAACTGGCCACTCCTAGAGAAAAGAAGAGTAACGCAATGATGAAGAGAGCCCTCTTAATTGAAAAAGGGTTCATTGAGTGCTAAGAAGTTTAGACTTTCAGCACATTTTCTTTAGTCTGCTCTTCAGCAATTATTAGAAACAATGTTTCTTTTATACTGCATCAGGCATGCAAAAAAAACACTGATTTTTAGAGTGGTTCTCAAACTTTCCCTGGCATGCAGACAACCCCAAAAACATCCCAAACAAAACAAAAGCATCCATTATGAATTTTATGAAGGAGGTCAGCATCATTTTGGATGTTCGGATGCGAGCTGAACTTTGGTTACCTATGTGAACATTATGGATATACAGTGTTCAAGCACTGTGGTCCTGGTCTTGTCAGAAAAACAAAGCTTTTCCAGCCTTCTGTGTAGAAAAGATTTGGAGGCCACAAATAATGAGTGGCCACTTTAATAGGTACACCTGTGCTATCTCATGTATACCAACTGAGCCGATTTAGCCTAAATAAGGATACGTTCATTGTTGTTTGTATTTTCAGTTCGCAGTTATGTTAAGTGTCTTATATGCTTATTTTACACTGGGCTTAATTCTACTGAGGGTTGTTTCAATAAAATCACCTTAAACAACGAATGGATAAAGCCATGTTTGAGATGCTGCACGTTGCGTGGGCTTTGCGCCCACAGTCCAAAGACGTGCGGGTTAAACGGTAAATCTAATTTGGTTCTAGATGGTCGTAAACGTGTCACTGTTTTTTGGTTCTCTCTGGCGGTCTGGAAATTTAGAATTAATGTTATTCTCAGGCACTCAGATTAAGAGTCTTCATTATTTAAGTGAAGTGGAACAAATGAAACTCGTTAACTTGTTTAAAGCGGTCTTCATATACTGAACTCGCTGATGCTGAATGAATGAATAGTGTGTGTGCGTATTCTGGAAAATGAGTGAGAAAGGCTTCAGCGCTGTACCTGACGATATTGCAAGTCCTGCTGAACAGCGCGCCGCCATGCTTTCCTTGCAGAGGTCACGTGGTTAAGGAATCACGTGGTGCTCGGCTGCCGTTTGTAAGCAAACATTTTTATTTATTTATAGCACCCGCTATGAAAAGTATTTCCCAAGTGCTGTTAAACAGAGCAAGGGGCTGTTAATAGAATTTTTCAAATATATTCTGGATACTCACATGATTTTACTGCACGCAGAAACAAAATTATTTCACTAAAAACAAATTTACCAGGGTCAAAATTATTAGCTGATTTTAGAAAACAACAAATGGAAAATCCATAAATATGCAGTTGTTTCATATTAATAGTAAAATCTCTTAACTCCTAATTACTAGTAAATTACAGTAGCCTGTGAATCTGGCACCTCCCCTGTAATGTCACTAGAAGGTCAACCTCCAGAACTGTTCTCTCTGTCTGCTAGACTCTTTGATATTTACTATTGTTTAGTTTCACAGCGTCTGTTTTCCTTCCAGTGAGTTTCCTGTCTGGATTCAGTTTTCCTTTCCCAGTGGATTTTTGTATTCTTTAGATTTGCATAAGACAAAATAAAGTGTCACCTTTTGTTATTCAGTTTGTCTCAAAGTCTTTGTTCTTGTCCTCTTTGTGTAATTCTTGATGGTTGTTTTTACTTCATTTTAAGACCTGCTAAGGTCTTTAAATTATAACTTTAAAGATCATTTTTAAAAAGTACAATTAACAATGGACACTGCTAAAAACAAGAACTGAAACCAGAAAACTTAATGTGAAATCTAATTTTTAATAACAAAAATATTATTAAAAAAAACAAATGGAAATCTATAAATATGCAGTTGTTTAATCTTAATAGTAAAATCTTTTCACTCCTTTATTGTTAGTAAATTACAGTAGCCTGTGAATCTGGCACCTCCTCTATAATGTCACTAGAGGGCGCTCTGATTATCTGTAGAGCAGATTGACCAGCGCGATGTTGGAGATTGCAGAAATTGCTGTTGGAAATCTATACCTGATGGTGCTGCTGTGATTAAATATTTTTGTCCTTCAAATAAATGTAGGTAAATATGGAAAATAAAGACTGAGTCTATGACCTCATGTCCTGCAGGTAGGACAGTACTTCTTTTTTGGATGGATGGATGTGGATGGATGGATGTATAACACATGTATAAGTTGGAAGAAAAGAGTGAAATGACAAAAACGGCTGTGTAAAATAGAAATACACAAACATGTCTGGAAGCATCTCCACACCTCACTGTCACACATGTGGTTTTACTGGTAAAGCTTTTCAGCGGGGTTTACTGGTAAGCGGTTTTACTGGTAAGTAGTGTTTGTAGTAAACCCAGTAGGAAATTCGAGTATCACGTGTAAAGGTGGTCAAATCCGTTCATATGCTCATTTAAGCTGATGTGGTTCAAACACTGAAGTCTGTGATTGTCTATGTAATCCTGCGATTGGAAAACAACTTGTGTGATTCCATTGCTATTTATTTTATTGAAGGTAAGGTTAAAAGTCTCAGGACTTACTGTTTAGTTTACTTTGAGACTCGAAAATGCACACAGTGCACTTAGCAAAAAAGAAAAGAAGGTGTAGACAGAGCTTCTCCACATTGTAAAGAAACCATATGAAGAAGGAATATGATAGCGTGCCGAGAGAGGAACTATGGTATTGTATGAGGAAGGCAGGAGTGGCAAAGAAGTATGTAAGGGTGGTGCAGGACATGTATGACAAAAAGACACAGGTGAGGTGTGCGGTAGGGGTGACAGATGAGTTCAAGCTGGGGTTGGTATTAATTCAGGGATCTGTTCTGAACACCTTCTGGTTTGCAATGGTGATGGACAGGCAAACAGATGAGGTCAGGAAAGAGTCTCTGCAGACGTTGATGTTTGCAGACGACACTGATTTGACAGGTGGACAGGTGTGTGCGAATGAGAGGGAGACAGGTATAACAGTGAAGCTGCAAGGAATAGAGGTTGTTAAGAATAAATTTCTGGGGTCAACGATCCAAAACAACAGACGGTACACTGAAGAAAAGAGTAAAGAAGACAGGGTGGAGCAGGTGGAGTCAGAGGTGGTTTGTGACAAAAGGATACCAGCAAAAGTGAAAGAGAAGGTTTACAAGAGGATAGTGAGATAAAGAATCTCCAATATGGAGCTACCAGACTGGATGAAAAGAGGAAGACCACAGAGAAGATTCAGGGTTTATGTGAAAGAGAAGCATATTAGGAATACAGTAAGATTTAGACAGGTGATCTGCTGTGGTGGCCACTAAAGGGAACAGCCAAAGGAAGAAAAAGACATTTCTGTATTTATTCCTAGTTTTCGTGTTTTTTCCAGTTAAGGTTAGTTACATGTCAGTTGTAGAGTGAGCTTAGTAGTTTACCTCAATCTTTAACTCAATCTTTCCTAGTTCTTTTTTTTTAAATCTCTCCTCTCCCTGTGTAAGCGTGGATTTGCATTTCAGACAGACTATGGCAGTTTTGATGTTTCCTGTGGTTTGCCTACCTGTTTGGCCTGTTATGGATGTGTTAACATCTTCTGCGTTCGAGGCTTCTGCTAAAACAGCTGCCTCTTTATCAGATGAAGATTTAAGTTGATAATAGGTAGATTTTGATAATACAAACCACAGACTCAGTGACTGACTCTGTAATGTAGCTGTGCCATTTAACTATAGGGTTTATCGTACAGTACTCTAGTTAACACCTCTAAGACCCTGCAGATGACATTTCTACAATTATCATAGCACAGACAGATAACATGCCATAATAGGACTGCTAGTGGAGATACTGTAGTAGGTAGCTGCCTTATCAGTGAAAACAAACACAGCTCATATCTCTCATAAGGACACCTCACCAAGGTCAGGGAGATAAACTCTTATCTATTTTTAAACAAACAAAAAGTAAAATAAAGTGTGTGTTTTTTTTTGTTTTTTAAGCATGAAAATAAATAATTGCTACGTCATCTACACAGGACATCGAAATAAAGTCGGGCTGAATTCATAGATATTTTTAGAGCAGAATTCAAACCCACAGGTCTTTGTTGTTGTTTTTATAATGAACATTCTTTATTGATCTGTTCCAACAATGTGTAGCTCGGGGTGTCATCAAAAACTAAAGTGACAGTATTACTAGCTGCTGTGGTATTTGTAGTATGAGCAGTGGGATAGTCGCAGTAGTGTAGTACTTTTACTAACCGCAGTAACAGGAGTCTCAGAGCTGGCACAGGTTGATAGCTAAACCAATTTACCGGCCGCACCTTCTTTTTTCAAAGCGCGCGCTGTTTCGTTTCATTTTCCGACACTTGTAGCTACACGTCTGAGCGCGAGCGCTGCGTCTTGCTCGCTCACTGTACTGACGTCAAACCAGCATGGCGGTCAAGGTGACTTGTGGTTCGCTCTCCTAGCGTTTTTCAAACCTCTACTTTGCCGTGTTTGCATGTTTTCTGTTCGTTTTCTTGTGTAGGAGCTATCGAAGCTAGCCTTTCTGCTCCCTTCCGGGTTGGCTGTCTCAGGCTCGGTGTATACCGACGCTGTAGCATCCCTGCTAGCTGCCGCACAGCGGAGGCTGGCCTTGACGAGACATCCACGAAGCCCGGAATTAGCGAAGCAATGCTATACAGCTATCGCACTACTATTACTGCAGTGATTAAACAAAATCACTACCGCTAGCTGAACTCCCATCTTTTCACAGCAGTCAACTCTTAGTTTGCTCTCATCTTGTTGCTCGTTTTAAACTATAACAATGAAACAGTTTGTGTCCTTTTCACATCAGTAGAGTGTGCTTGCTAGCTGGCTACCGGATAACGGTAGTTTTGATTTTTGTAGATTTTTGTTGGCTGGTGGGCTTTCCTACATGGCTCAACTTAAATGTACGCCACGTCGCAGTTCTTAGCTTTTATGTATTTGCCGCAGTGGGTCGGTTGTCCTTCACGGCAGTGGACGCTTTCAAGGAGACATCACCCCCTAAAGCTTTTTTTTTTTTCTTGCTCGCTTTGCTTCTTGCTATGTCCAGCTCTCCGCTTGCAAAACTTGCTTTTGCTTTGTTGGTGTTTTAAAAGCACTTTCGAAAATGTCATCGTTATTTTGGTGTGTGCTGTTTTAGGTGCAATCTACCAAACGCGGGGACCCAAGTGAGCTTAAAGCAATCTTCCAGCAGGTAAGCGCTAACAAAAATAGTATGTCATCTTATGCATAACTGCATATTAACTCGATATATCTGTTAAACAACTGTGTTGCCGCGTAGGGGGTAGTCTGAACTGGGGTTTTTTTTTTTTGGTGAATGAGCTTGTAAAGTTGTGTCATGAGGTTTAAGTTACAGCATAAGCCGGGGTGTATCTGAATGGCACATTCATTAGTTAGCCAAACAGAGCTTTATTTTTCCTCACTGAAGTTAAAACATAAAGTCAGTTGTAACTTATTCTTGTTTGGTCACTAACAGCGGATGTGAGTGGTTGATACAGCGTTGCAAAAGTGTAATATGTTTTTTTCCTCAGCTGTCTGCTCGTATTATCAATATGTGTCACGCTGTCATACTCGGTGGTTGCTCTCCGAGCCTGGTTACCTCATTTAAGCGATCAGGCTGAATTTAGTTGCATGTCCGAGGATACTGGTCCATGTTTGACCGTGTGATGTAATGAGAGACTGTGGTAACAGCAGACTTTGCTAACCTTCAGCTTTCTCCACTGTCTTCTGCGTGGAGAGTGGGTGACCTGCTGCGTGGTTGTCCTGCCGGTCAGCAGTTTTTAGCACACTGACAATACAGAAGGTCAAATAACTTGGAAACTCCTGCCAAGAAACATTAGTCCACGTGTGCCTGCTCGTGCTTGTGGAAATGTGTCTTTGACATGTCATGTTGTAGCTGCATGATTCGTGACCTTGGTGGTTCAGGTGCAGCATAAATAGTCATTACAGTTTGGTAAGACGCCAACAAGTGATGCAGGGTGGTTAACTTGATAGCTTTTATTAATGATCTGCAACTGTAACAAAGTTTGTGTAGTTTCCTGCTGTATAATATTTGCATCTCATGACTTGTGATTTTAATTTGAGGTAAACAGTATACAGTGTGTTACTGTCGTTTTCCACTGCTAGTGTCCCTGTGAGCTCCTGAGAGGAGACACCAATTCCTTTGGTTTTGTATGAAGGGCGTGTATATAATTTAAAAAGGAAAAAAAAACACCAAATGAAAACACGTGGAGCTATCCTCTGTGACAACCCTTTGTGGAAGTAATCACTGTCATGCTCCACTTTTGTCTCCAAGCACTGTGGGCACACAGGTCTTTGGTTAGGGTTAAAAAGCTGTAATGTCAAGTGTCATACTGGTGGATTGGGTGAACTTATGAATCAAAATGGCAATACCTGTATTTGTTTAGCATGTCTTTTAAGGCATCCAAGATGATGGTATGTTCTTTCTCCTCTCAGTATGCCAGTGTAGAGGGCAAGGATGGAGAGAGGTTCATGACCCCAGGAGACTTTGTCCAGAGGTATCTAGGACTACATACACAGATTCACCACAACCCCAAAACTGTTCAGCTCATCGCTGCTGTGGCTGACACCACAAAGGACGGGTATGTACTGATAAAAACACTGCATACACAAGCTCTCAGTTTATCAGCACTAATTGACAATTTATTGAGACATGTCTGATTGCTATTACAGCTACTTTAGATAAGATAAAATACACAGTGAAAAAAAAACAACCCTCTGAAAAGTGTATCGCTTTATTCAGAAATGAAAGATGGTGTTTCTGTCAGTCATCGGCTTGCCTTCTAATTCATACAGAAACATAGTGACCATGGTTTTTTTTGTTTGTTTGTTTATTTGTTTTTTAATAGGGGTGATAAAACTGAGAAAATGTATTGTTCCTTGAACTAGTATTGCGTGAGCTCGCCTTTGCTTCATTCCACAGTCTTTAATCTCTTAATGATGCCTTTAAACGTTAAACCTTCTTTTTTCCTCTCTCTCTAAAACCCACACACCTTTGCAGGCTGATTTCATTCCAGGAGTTTCTTGCATTTGAATCTGTGTTGTGTGCACCGGACGCTCTCTTCATAGTAGCTTTTCAGCTGTTTGACAAGTCTGGAACTGGAGACATTTCCTTTGGTATGTGTGCATTTATGCCTTATTTCACTTAATATGTGTAAAGACTGAGCTTCATGCAGTTTCAGCATGGAGTTTATTGCGCTGCACTGAATTCATTCCTGTTTGTCAGCAAAGAAATTTTCATGCTTTGCTGCAGTGTAGAAGTAATTTCCCAACATGACATTGTTAATCAGATTATTCCTTAGGCTTAAGCATTACACATGGATGAGTTTATGTAATTGTTCCCATGCTGTCTCCCTTCTTTCCAATACCACACACGCAAAACTCTGTTGTAGAAATGAAATGCTTTAACCTCAAAGTTTAAGAAAGTCCTGCTAAGATTTTTTTTCTTCTAATGTGTATCTGTGCTGCAGAAAATGTGCAGGACATCTTCAGCCAGACCACAGTGCACCACCATATTCCTTTCAACTGGAACTGTGAGTTCATCCGCCTGCACTTTGGACACGACCGCAAGAAACACCTCAACTACCTCGAGTTCACCCAATTCCTGCAGGTATATTGGGGGCCTTTTATGCTTTCATTTCTTTGTTTCACTTTTCCTTTCTCAACATATTGTGTGACTGACTTTATTTACATTATTTACACACTGTCTTGTGATGTCTTGTTTTTTAGGAGCTGCAGTTGGAGCATGCACGCCAGGCATTTGCCCAAAAGGACAAAGGCAAGAATGGTGTCATCTCTGCCCTGGACTTCAGTGACATTATGTCCACTATCAGACACCACATGCTCACCCCTTTTGTGGAGGAGAACCTTGTCTCGGTGAGTGTTGCGGCTCTTCAGAGAGAGCTGACTGGTATTGTAACCTGAGTTTGAAATGGGATTAACGTGATGTAAATCAAAAGCTTAATCTTTGCTGAAGTTTTGATCACTCACAAGTAGAAGTGTAACTAGAAGTGTAACCTGCTGTGAGGTACTGAAATTTACAACCTCAGCAGAGGTGAATCCTGTTTAGCTTCTCATCTGGGGTTATTAGCATTAAAGGATAATATGGTTATTTTGAACATGACCCTGATGTTTTTAAATGATCTTTTAAGCGTCACACTCAGGCTGAGTGTTCTCTTAGTCATCGGTGCTTTCAGACCTTCTCAACTTTGAAGCATAACCTTTTTGGCCTAAAAGTGTCAGAAGTTCCCAATTTTTACAATATGTCAGTTATTTTAAAGTTGATCCTGTGACCTCATGAAGAGATTATTTTTAAAAGAAAAAACTTGCTGATGAAGCCGTACCTGATGTGCATTGCCTTTCTTCTTTCTGCCAGGCTGCCGGAGGAAGTACCTCTCACATGGTCAGCTTCTCTTACTTCAATGCCTTCAATTCTCTCCTGAACAACATGGAGCTTATTCGCAAGATTTACAGCACACTGGCTGGCACGCGAAAGGACACGCTCGTGACCAAAGGTGCACATATCGTTACATTACTGTGACGTTGTGGCTTTCTGTTTCAAATGACATGTTTCATGGTTGACAGTCATAAATGCTGATGTTTAACTGAAGTGTTTCTTCCTGACCTCTCTGATCTTCAGAGGAGTTTGTTCATGCAGCCAACAAGTTTGGTCAGATCACTCCTATGGAAATTGACATCCTTTATCAGTTATCAGGCCTGCACTCTCCCTCTGGGTAAAGACACACTCATGCCCAAATTCTTACATTCAGTATGCATTTGACTGATATTTGCATACAATGCTGATAATGGGGAAATGACCATGTTTTTCAGGCGCCTGAACCTTGCTGACATTGACAGGATAGCTCCACTAGAGGAGGGGTGCCTGCCCTATCACCTGGCTGAAAGCCAGAAACAGGTAGGATGCTTGTAACGGGCTGGCTACACATCCTGTTATTAATAACTGACCTAAAACCAGAACAAGATTTTACTGTGTGTAAATATTTTCAAACCTCAGTGCAATGTTTAATTTAATACAGTATGAAAAACAATTTAGATGATATTATTTGTGTTTTTCATCAGGCCCACGGAGATACTTCGAGGTCTGTGTGGCTCCAAATTGCAGAGTCCGCCTACAGGTTCACCCTGGGCTCCATTGCTGGAGGTGATCTCAACAGTGCTCTCAAACAGACACATACCAAAAACCTGTTATCTCATTTAGTGGATTCTAATCAGTCTGACTTTGGGTGTGTTTTTTGTTTTTAATAGCCACGGGGGCAACAGCTGTGTACCCCATTGATTTGGTAAAGACTCGTATGCAGAATCAGAGGTCCACCGGATCCTTTGTTGGCGAGTTGATGTACAAGAACAGCTTTGACTGTGCTAAGAAGGTGCTGCGCTACGAGGGCTTCTTTGGCTTCTATAGAGGTAGGCTCACCTCCTGCCTGTTTTATCCTCCTGTCTCTACACAGAACGTCATACGTTTCACAACTTATGTTATTTTCTTATCTGCAACACCCAATTTATCTTGCTAAAAAAATCAGTGTAAATACTTTTATGTATTTTTTCACATTTCTGTTTGCCCAGTATTGCTAATGAAAGGAGAGTCTTGTAACCCAATCTCTCATAATGCCCCACAGGTCTGGTTCCTCAGCTCATAGGTGTGGCACCAGAGAAGGCTATCAAACTTACAGTGAGTACTCATAAAAGGCTTTTTATGACCAAACGGGTCCGGGGTCTAGGGCTGGGCCATATTATACCGTTCACGGTAATACCGGTATAATGTTAGGCAACGATAGGAAAATGAAATATCGCGATAGAATATGAGTAAAACGCGCATGCGCAGTGCCTTTGTTTTCATACGCACATGGCCGATTGTTGAGTGAAACAGATGAACCAGAATTGGTTTGTAAAAATGGTGCAACTTCAGTGATGTGGAACTGGTTTGGTGTTTGTCCGTCAGATACACGACAAAGCACATTTTTTTGCAGAACATGCAAGCGGCCGTCGTTATTGTCGTATTTGTCGGACTAAGATGCTCTTAAATCTGGGAGTAATCTGGGTCCTAAACTCCGTATGTTCAGGTCAAACGAACACTGCAGCATCACTGAGAGTTAAAAACTGTCTAAATTCTTTCATCTTTAATAAAACGATCAGCATTGCTGCTTTACCAGGTGTAACTATGAAGTTTAACTTCCAGGCATCCATGAAAACAAAATTATTACATTTAACGGAGTTAGAAGTTAGCAGGAAGCTAGCGGAAGTTAGCTCGCTAGTTTCGCTAGTTACCTAAGCATGATATAGCATGTTCTGACTGAGAGATTTCTGAAAAAAATCAAACGTACAGCTCTGCTATCACTTCCAACATAAATGAAGACAGGAAACTAAACAGCAGTGACGTTTGTAGGGTTACTGAAGTTGGGCTAGCTGGTATATAATGATGTGCTACGTGATCGCTAGCGACACAGCTATGTTAGCATAACATAAACAGTGAAGCTGGAGGACGAACACTAACACTTTTCCACTTATAAAAGTTAACGTTAAGGTTCCTGATAGTTAGAGACAAATGCAATCGCATGGCAGGATGCTGTAAACGGACCAAACTTCAGTCAGGAGAACAACTGAGATAATCCATCCACAATACGAGGTTAGTCATTAATATACTGCAACAACATGGGAATAGAGCAGCTGCCAGAGAATTCAACATTAATGAATCAATGGTACAGAAGTGGAGGAAGCAAGAAGAATGAGTTTAATAAAGTTTGATTTATCTGACTGCTTTGTTTCGCTTAATGTGCCTTATAATCCCGTGCACCTTATGGTCCGAAAAATACGTACTGCACACTGCAGTTTAATGTTGCAAAGCACCTCTTTTTAACTTCAGTGGATATTATACATGGTTATGCTCAGGATATGTCAGCCCATTTCTACTGGAAATGCCTTTTGGTTAAACTTTCAGCAAGGAATTTGCATTTGCACTGTTACATTTTTATAAAGCTTTAATGTACATAAAAACCAGCTTCTTGTTTAAGTGAAAATAAATGGAAGGTTGTCTTTTTGCGCTAGTAATGTTGTGGAGTTGTATTTTGTCTCGCATCAATTATATCGTCAGTTATATTGTTATCGCAAATATATATCGTGATAAATATTTTTGGCGATATCGCCCTGCTCTACCGGGGTCTCCCTCAGGGTAACTACCAAGTAGGGTGCTCCACCCTGCGAGAATGAAACGCCTTCAAGAGCTATTTGTATTTGCATTTCCAAACACTTTGTGATTGGTGTCTACTTTGGTTGCTGTGGGGTTTTGTTTTGTTTGTTTGTTTTTTTTTAATCCAATTTTGGTTTCATCATGTTCTCTCCACATTGCTTCACTGTAGTTTGGAAACCTCTAGGTAGTTAAGAGGAAATCTTACTGAATGTTTTTTCCATTTCCTGTGTCACACACAGGGTTAAAAAGCCTGGACTTCACTTTTGGTACATTTCTGTGTTTAATGTTTAGAGCAGTCTTTCTATTTTTAGCTGTTTGTGCAGCCAATGTCAAAGTCCTTCTGTGCTAATATTTACATGTCCTTTTTTTTTCCTTTTTGTATTTTTTGAAAACGTCCGTTATTTTTGAGGCACTGTGTCAAGATCAATCACAGTTACATCACTCAGTATTTCCTAATATGCTGGAGACTACCTGAACTAAAGCAAGAGCTTAAAGGGTTCACAGCAGGGTTGTAGAAACTCAGATTATTGTTAGCAGTTTTAGTACAGAGAAAACAGATAATGGGGGACTTCCTCTGTAAGTGTTGAGATAAGGTTCTTGTAGTATAACAATACATTGGCTTAAGTAAACATCACTAAATACAAAAACGCTGCAAAAGCACACAAAACACAATGGAAATGGAAAAGTGTTTTCCGTAACTTTTCCGTCACGTTACCGTCTCCCCAAAAACATTTCTGTTGTGTCTTTTTTCTGTTTGTTGGTGTTTTCTTAAGTCGCTGTGGGTTTGACCTCTCAGGGCCACCATATAAAGATGCCTGTACAGCATTTCAACAGTAGGGGCAGTAGGGCATTATGTTGAGGCAGCTCCACAAGAGTAAGATTAAGCTGATTGAGTTTGTCTTTTTTTTTTTTTTGGGTTTTTTGTCCCACAGGTGAATGACTTTGTAAGAGATAAGTTTACCGAAAAAGATGACACAATTCCTCTCTTCGCTGAGATTATGGCGGGTGGCTGTGTAAGTACTGAGAGCCAGACTTTCTCTCTTTTCCTCTTTTTAATGAATGAATGTGTGAATGAATCAAAGAGTACTCAGTAAGAAAATGTGGATAGTCACTTAAGAGTGTGTGCAGTAACATGCATGGAGTCCTCTCATTTGCTGCGTTAAGTTGCCTGCCGAGTCCGATTTGCGTTACTAACAGTGGATGCACTGCTAATTTGCTCCCAGAGTGAACCGAATGTCCAATGCAACATGTTCTTTTTCTGTTTTTGTTTTTGATAGCGTTGTTCATCTTTACACACATTGGCCCAGCACTCCTTACCGTCCGAGGAAATGGCAAAGTAATTGATCGATCAGGATGTAATTGTTACTTTTGATACTTTTTCATGAGAAAAAAAAACTTGGTTCCCATCCCTGAGCTGCATACATGTGAGATGCAGAAGCAGATTTAAAATTGCAAGCGTGAAAAAGTCATCCATTGCCTTCTTTCCTTGTGTATTTAGGCTGGAGCCTCTCAGGTGATCTTTACCAACCCTCTGGAGATTGTGAAGATCCGCCTGCAGGTTGCAGGTGAGATCACCACTGGACCTCGAGTCAGTGCACTGAGTGTGGTCCGTGACCTGGGCTTCTTCGGTCTCTATAAGGTAACATTCTTTGAAACGTATGAAACCCCCTCCTCAGACGGGAGGTTGTAAGAGCAGTCTGTAACCATGAGAGTAGCAGTACAAACGGTATTCTTTCCTCCTTGGTGGAGAAATAAATTCTTTCACTTAAAGCTTCTCGTACCTATGGACACTTGCCATCTTTACATCTGGTTTTCACTGTTGCATTTTTCTGTCTTTAATGTGTCTTTTTAGGGTGCTAAAGCTTGTTTTTTAAGGGACATCCCCTTCTCAGCCATCTATTTCCCTGTGTACGCCCACACAAAGACTCAACTAGCTGATGAACAAGGCAGGCTGGGACCTTTGCAGCTTCTCAGTGCTGGAGCAATCGCAGGTAATTATAATTCACAACATGAAGTCAGTCAGTGCTCCGTATTAGCATGCCATCTGATCTGTGCTACAGTTTATAAAAAAACCATGAGAGAAATATGTGCATACTGTTTTTCACTTCCACTTAAAGCACAAAGACCATATTTTCCATTAGCTTCATGACTCCCTGTAACTGTTTTCCAGGTATTCCTGCTGCCTCCCTTGTGACACCTGCTGATGTCATTAAGACACGTCTACAAGTTGCGGCAAGGGCAGGGCAGACCACCTACTCTGGAGTCATCGATTGCTTCAAGAAGATTTTGAGAGAGGAAGGTTTCAGAGCTTTGTGGAAGGGAGCTGGAGGTGTGTGGCTGTGTATCAATGGACAAGTAGATGCGCTGTGTCTCTGATTGTTTTGGGGTTTTTTCAGTTAAACTAACCTAAACTGTTTGGGGTTTTTTTGTTTTGTTTTTCTTTTCTCCAGCTCGTATGTGCCGATCCTCTCCTCAGTTTGGTGTGACTCTGGTGACTTATGAACTCTTGCAACGGTGGTTCTACGTTGACTTTGGTGGACAGTAAGTTCTTTTTTTCTTTTAAATATGTGTGTCCAGCTAAGTCGTCTTCTCCTTCTGTTTTGTATCCATATAAGTATTTAAAAATATGTTTGGAAAGTTGTCAGCGCTCCTGTGATGAGGGAGAACAGTGTGCTGTAGCACAGTAACATTGCTATATTACAAAGCATTGTAACACATGTCAGTATAAAAGAGACTTAGAGTGGTGCCACAAAGTATTTGGATACATTAGGTATAAATTATCAGAGGAGACGGCATTTATTTGAAATGAGGATATCACAAGCACAGTTGTGAAAGGGGGGTTCCAATATTTGAAAACATTTTGAGTCATGTTTCATGTCAATCTTGTAATTTGCTGCTCTTTAAAGGCCTTAAATCAACCACTTTCCTTTGTGGTCTAAGTTTTCTTTACTGCACTCTTTTACCCTATTTTATCTCTTTAGTGATGTTTTTGCCATGTTTTGCTCCCTTATGCAGTTACATTTTTTACAAATTCCCTCAGAAAAAACAAAGTGACACTTAGTCAACCGCTTTGGGGTTGATTAAGGGAGGCCGTCTCATTTAAAAACAGACCTTTTGAAGTCCATTAAAGTAGTTAGTATGGATGGTTCAACCATAAAAAATACATTTTGATGCCTACAAAGTTACTAAACAACTTTGGTTGTGAAATGACTCGTCATGTCCTCTCCTCTCTGCAGTCGTCCAGCTGGATCCAAACCCAAACCCAAGTCTCGAATCTCAGAGCTTCCTCCCATCAATGTGGACCACATTGGAGGTTACCACCTGGCTGCAGCTACCTTTGCTGGGGTGGAGAATAAATTTGGACTCCACCTTCCCAAATTCAAGTCGTCCGGTGTGGCTTCCATACATCACCCAGCTCAAGCACCGTAGAGGTCTCGATATCCATATCATTTCATCATCCCTCTCCACCATTACCAGGAGCCAGACACTCAGATAGACACACAAATGAAGCACACACTCCACAAAAAGAGGTCACTGACTTAGGAACAAACACCACTGGCCCATTACTCTCTTCGGGGTAAAAGGTGTGCTTCAGTGGCCACTAGCCAGCCATAGAGGTGGAGAGCTGCCTGCAGCTGTACAACAGAGCAGACAGCGATGGGGACCAGAATCTCTGACTGTGTTCAATCTTCAGTGGCTGTATGCTCCTGGCAGCTTCATCTTTTCTCTTCTTCTCAAAACGGAGCCTTGGGCACTCCTCTGTCTCTCATGATATGATTTTCATTTTGTTTTCTGTCTGATACTCAGTATGAGCAGGACTTCTCTTCTTGGACAGAGGGTATAGGAAATATTAGATTGATCTGCACGGTATGTGGGGCTTCGCTGTCAACCTGTCCTCATTCAGGAGGTTTGATACTGTACATATTGTATAACTGTACTGACCAGATGTTACGAGAGAGCTCCATAACATTCAGTCAACAGAACAGTTCAGTAACTGTAATGTTATGGCACTGTGGGGCTTTGGGCCCTCGCCTCTGAGAATCACTCTTACTGATGTACAGAACTTTTCAAGTGTTTTCTTGATTTAAAAAGAAGAATCATGAGCAGAGAATTAGTTCTTAATAAATTAAGTGTATCTCATTTGAGTCATTGTATTTTAATGAAATAAATAATCCATATGGTTTTAATTTTACCAGTATGTCTCAAATTTTATTCCAATGGGAAAGTGCAACCATCCATTGTATCAGGAACAGAAATGGAGAAGAATACAGTACAAGTAGTGTAAGCAGAGCACTTGTCTTATTTTACATCAGGTGTGGTTGAGTCAGTGTGCTTTAAGCTTTGTTTTTTGTTTTAAATGTTAACTTTGTGAGGCAGGATGTTGAATCCATCAATCATGGAAGGAATGAAAAACAGGAAGGACAAAAAGCAAAATAAAGGACTCCCATTTTGTGGTTAAGTTAGTTTCCAACTTTTGCTTCATGCCTTCATCTAAAACTTCATTTAGTTTTTCTGGCTCCTCTTAAAGAGGATGTGTCGGGGAACTGTTTCCAATAACATTAACCTTTGGTACAGGAAAAACGCATCCCCTTTTCACTGTACTAGTGTCAATAAATTCAAGCAAAGTAGAGTAGCATATTTTTGCTTATTAAGAAGCTTGTAGTGCTAATTTCAAGATTGTACAATTCAAACTTTTAGTACAAAGCAGCGTCTTTAAAATAATACACACAATATTTAAATAAGTACAACCACCGTGATAAATATTAAATATTGTAGTGGTTAAAATGTAAGAATGACACGCTTCTGCACAGGCCAGGTATCTATGTGTGTGAGTGCATTAGCTGTTTTAGTGCTTCTCAGAATAAAAGGGTGTTTTCAGTCTTTTCAAAGTTTGCCAGCTGTGCACAAGCGTGTCTGGGAAAACATGTAAAAACACTCAAATGGTAATAAAAAGGTGCAAGTACAAAGGTTTGCATATTTAAAAAAAGAGCCGAGTCTGTTGAGGCCTCAGGAGAAGAGCAGTTTCTGGAGCCCTGAGGATGTTATCAAAGCTAGAAGTTCAGAGTGGACAGCCACATCTACGCTGAAAATCACTTTCCTCTATTCCTCTAAGCTTTCAACAACTTACTCTGGTTTTTGTGCTACTACTACACCTGACATTCATTGCTCCTACAAATGTACTCTAAAACTCTGAAAGAGACATTCAAAAACACATCTAAAGCTGCCACTTCCATCCATTCTAGCTCTGCACATCTCCTCAGGCCAAATGTAGAATGTGGAGAAGCTGGCAACCAGAGAGAGGCGAGCGCAGCTCCTCTGGCAGTACTGTGTAATGTACTATAGGTGTAGCGGACTGGAGAGAATTGTATGAGTGGTTGTGTGTGAGGGTGGGTGGGGTTTGCAACATCATGCATTGGCCAGTTCCTCAGCTTCATCTCTGTTTTCATTGATCTCAGCCAGCGTCCTGACGAAGCGGGTCCACTCATCCGCTTTGGGAACACAGATTTGCTGCAGGAAGACAGATGCATGTAAACGGAGGGGTTTGAGGGGGGGATTTGTGGCATTACATGAAAACACAAAAGGAGCTGACATCTCACCTCGCCAACATCATAGACCTGAACCTGTCCCTCTGAGTCCCCAGTGGCAATCTCCTTTCCAGTGTGAGACCATCTGACACGGTTCAGTGCCGGAGCCCCATCCACATACACACTAGCAGTTGGAACCTAAAATACACACAAGAGCTTACCGAGAAGCAGATGCATACCTGCTCGGGTACGCTTTGGATTCTCTGTCAAATCCGAAATCAATTCTGTAACTCATGTAAAAAATTGGGCATACTTCGGTATCATTGTTGAGGTTCCACAAGTCCAGACGTCCAGCTAGGTCCACACAAGCAAACAGGGCAGGGTGTGTTGGAGACCACATCGCATCGTAGACGTAGTCACAACTGTCCTCAAAAGAGTATAGTGGACGGGTACTCTACAAGGGAAAGCGTGGGTGGAAGTGGCAGAGAGAAACAATAGATTTATGTCTGGAAACTGTTCTAATCTTGACTCATGCTAAAAGTGACTGATTCAGTCTCACCTTAGTGCTCCAGAGTTTGACGGTCCAGTCAAACGAGGACGAGATGAAGAGGTGAGAGAAATCGACAGGTCCTCCAGCACTGTGGCAGCTCAGTCCAGTAACCGGACCATGGTGGCCTTCAAACACTTCAGTGATGCCTGCCTTACTGTAACACACACAGGACAGCTCTGCTGCCTTACCTTTTAACCCCAACATTGAGAGCTTTAACACTCTCACTTAAATGGGTACAGAGACTTTATATTTTATTATAGTAGAAATACAGGCATTTTACAGGGTCTTACCTGCCATGGCGACAGGCGGTGTAGACAGAGCCGTCTTCGCTCCCTACCACAAAATTGTTAACGTCACCCAGAGGAAACGCCATGGAGGTGACAGCCACCGCTTTGCTCTGTTTGAACACCAGCTCCAGACTGTCCTGCAGGGAATTTGCACAAAGTCTCAGACAAAACAGCTCATATTTACGTCTGTGTTCATTGTGGCAGCAAAAAAGGTCATTGATGTTATATCTGCATGTCTGTACATGCGTCCATACATCTCGTGTACCTGTGGCTGGGAGAGCATGTCCAGGCTCCAGGAGCACATCTTGCCATCAGTGGAAATGCTGATCAGGTTGTTGGCATTTTGGGTTCCCACCACATTCACGCAGTAGACTGGGTGCTGCACACAGTGGTGCACAGTTCATAGATTAAAAAGATGCAGGAAAAGAAAAGTGTGTGTAGACAATGAAAGATTGTGTGGTCCAGTGCATTACTGTGTGTGCAGCTGCAGACAGGGGAGTCCTCTGCACAGGGGTGCGCTTGTTGCTCCTGTTGTCCCACAATACTATCTGTCCCGAGTATGTCCCACCCACCACAAGGTTGGGGTGAAACTTTGCAAAGCCGGCTGACATCACTTCAGACTGGGGAGAGACAACAGTAATGTCTTAAGTATTTCTTATTCCAAGTGGAAAGAAGAGAAGCTTTCTGTACTTGAAATGCGTCTTTTACCTGGCAGTGGAAAATGTATTCAGGGGTGGGCTTCTTATACTTCATGTTCCAGACCAGTGCCACACCATCAGGCTCATGTGGAGCGTCCTCATTGTTGTTATATGAGGCCACCAGCAGCTCTGGATACTAAGAGAAATATAGCAGTCATTAGTAAGAGCAGACAGGGAGCAATGGTGCCTAGTAAGATTCATTCAGTAGCACTAATCTAATTAGTAGTCAGTCGCTATACACATAATTACAGTTCCTGAATTTTAGTTAGCTGTTACTTGTTAGATGTGAACCTCTGCGTGTGTGCCTGAATAACCCTGAATTCCCGCTGAGGGTGCTGTTATGGACACATGAGCCTTCCTACCTGAGGAGACCAGTCGAGACAGGTGACCACTCTGTTTTTAGTCCAACGCTCATCTGCAAACTGTCTGTTCAGAACCAGCTTTGCCCCAGCCTGTAAGTCACTGAAAAGGGACACGAGGAAATGAAATCACTTCATTTCTATTTACAGCATTGACACTTTCTTCTGTCATTTGCCTCACCCCTCCTTGTCCTCTAGATCTCTGCCGCTGTAGTCGAAGCAGACATCCACATGCTCAGCCAGAGCTCTCTCCACAATTCTGCTGCCGCGCTCAAAAAATGATAAGAAATCATCCGAGTGAAGCAACTGCAGCTTCTCCTCCTCGGTCAGCTCCTTGGGGGCGTCTATGCGGAAATAAAGGAAGAGGAATAAATGCTGATCATTAATGCAGATGTCTTATTTGCCATTTTAAATTTGTTAGGAAATATTGGAAAGAGTAGAAAAAGCCACTAAAACCCATAAAAGTTTAACTCTTTCCCCCCATAAGGATGATATCTGATGACGTTCCCTGTACACATGATGATATCTCAACATGGCTTGATGATCATTTCCAGGTTTTTCCAGGGATAGCTGCATAGGCAGAGACCACCCTCAATAACTTCTAATGCAAACTCATTCGTTTTGTTCTATAAGCAGACCTGATATATGACAGAAACTGCTCAGTTCAGAAAAGAGCTTCAAGGGTTATGTCCAGTAGGCTTTGTATTTTTTCCATTAGCAGCGTTAACAGCCAGCTCACACAAAGTTTACATTCTACAAATGTCTTTCCTTACCTTCCTGCTGCTGTTCACCCTGCTCATCTTTGTCCTCCTGGTTGTCCTCTGCTGGTGGAGGAGCAGTTATCTCCTCATCCTCTTCCTCATCTGCAAAACACAGATTCACATTACTTTTTTTCTCCCACCACTCACTTTTGATTTAGCTGGGGTGAAAGTTTGGGAAAGTGTTTCTTTACCTGCTTTTTGATCAGTGTGTGTCATTGCCTCCGTGGGTGTCTGCGTTTCTTTGGAGTAGGACACCATTTCCTTTGGCAGAAAGTCCACCTGGGTCACTTTGGACATGCCTAGCCTCACGGCTCCACGTCTGCACGTACATTGCGGAAATAAGCAGATGCACGCACGGGTTTGCAGTATGAAACAAAAGTGAATGCCAATTTTTTTCATGTACAGACATAAATAGTGATATATGCATGGACATATTTGGACAAATCTAAGATGAAACCACAACAAAAAGCACAATAAAAGTTGGAAGACAAGCTAAAGGAGAGAGGAGGTGCAGTACCCCATCAGCTCAGAGTCGGAGTGGAGTTGCAGAGTAGAGGGGTCAGGATCCCAATGCAATGTCCTTATACAGCCAAACCACCAGATATCGTTAGTAAGTGACAGAGAGAGAAAGGAGCAGGAAAACCGGAGAATGAAACAAAACACAGAAGACAGACAAAAGGTGAGCCATATAAGAGATGTTAAAGATGGGAGATATGGCAAAAGGAAAGCAAGAAAGACAGAGAAAAGTGCGTGTTAATTAAGAAACATCAGCGTGCTGGTGAAAAGGCAAAGAGCAGACAGGTCAGAATTCATCAAAGTAGAATAAACTTGTTAATACACACACCCACACACACACTTAGCATGCACTTAATGCACACTTAACTGACTAAATCACATAAGAAAGAATGAGAATAAGCAACCAATCCCCATCTCTCTCGCTCTCTCTGACCTTGGTCCTGCGTTTCCATCGCCAGAATCTTGACTTCCTGCATCGCTGCCGACAGATTTGTTG